ATATATATATATATATATATATATATATATATATATATATATATATATATATATATATATATATATATATATATATATATATATATATATATATATTATATATATATATATATATATATATTTATATATATATATATATATATATATATATATATATATATATATATATATATATATATATATATATATATATATATATATATATATATATATATATATATATATATATATATATATATATATATATATACAGTGGCAGAAAAAAGTCATGTGTCAGACCACAAATATAGACTTAACAGGATTTGTTATTTATATGTAAATAAAATGATTTTTTAATTAAAATATTTAAGTCAAGTATTTCTATACGTGATACATAATGAAAACCATTGTGAAGTTACTTTGATCAACTATTTAGCTATTTGTTTTATCTAGCCAAAAATTCTAATACATATTTACTGGACACATAAAGTAATATATTTTCTGTGTCTCTCTCTCTCTCTCTCTCTCTCTCTCTCTATATATATATATATATATATATATATATATATATATATATATATATATATATATATATATATATATATATATATATATATAGACATTAAAAAATGAAGCCAAAAAAAAAAAGGTTTATATGTATGAAATATGGATTACTCTAATTTAATTAATATATACTTTTAAATTAAAAGTATATATTAAGTAAATTAGAGTGATTAGAAAACTCGTAAAGCTATTTTACTAATGTTTGGTATATTGTATATATTAAAAAAATGACTTGATTTTAAAGCGATATTTGTGTTGTTTTTTTGGTTTCGTTTTTTTAATACACTATTCAATAAGCTTATTGAATACATTTCAAGTGAGTATATGTAAACATAATAATACCAATTTTTTAATTTGTTTATTTATTCAATAAGCAAATTAAAACTCTTTATTCAAATACAAATGAAACATAATACAAATAATACAAATGAAACATAATACAAATGAAATTTCCTTATTTCATAGCCCAAATATTGCTTTTTCAATACATTTCAGCAACTTGTAGTATTTAAAAAAAAATTCTACAAAAGTTATGTTTTAATTGAAATCACAAAAAGATGTTTTTAAAACATTCATAATTGTATATATATATATATATATATATATATATATATATATATATATATATATATATATATATATATATATATATATATATATATGTAGATTTTTTGATTGTTAATCCACCTCCCCAAGACTGAGTCCATTACAGTCAAGTAGGCTATTTTCAACTCCAAAAAACTAACCTTGACACTCAAGGTCGTGGTGGGGATCAAACTTGGAACCTCTTGCTTATGAAGCGAGAGCTCTACCATTACACCACTACTACAGGGGTGGGACCGCAAAATGTGAACGTTTTTGTTTTATTATAACTATTTTCTCGTTAGATGTAGTTGTACTCTCTCACTCATCAGAAAGTGTCTAAAGAGTTGTTAAATATGAACTATTTTAAATAAGAATGTCCAACCATTGGACATTCTTATTTAAAATAGTTCATATTTAACAGAAAATTAATTATTACAATCAGAAAAGTGTTCACATTTTGCGGTCCCACCCCTGTACATTAATGTTTATTAATTGTAAATTTTTAATGCCAAATATAGTTTTTACAATGACATGTTGTTATTTCCCTTGTTGGTTAGAGATTTTTCATAATTTGTGTGGGCTATTTTACAAGCTTTTTTAATTTTCTTGCTTTTTGATTGAGTTTGTTTAGCTAAAAGGAAATGTTGTGAATTTATAAATATTTATTTTACATAAATAAAACTTTTTTAAAATTGATTGAATGTATCTAACATTAATATTCTAACATTAATATTATAACATTAATATAAGGTCATTTAACCTAGTATACTGGATTCAGAGGTGTAGGCAGGTGTGCAGGGGAGAGAATGCTTTGATATTCAAAAGCGCCTTTTTGAAATTCAGCGTCATCGCTTTTTTATTTGACATTAATTTATTGCAGTTTAATTTCATTGCATAAAAAATTGTGAAAAGGTGCCAACATAGCCACAATAACCTCGTAAAAGGCATGCTTCCCATTTTAGAAGGTGCTTAAAGTTATCAAATCACAAGTCTATGTTTTTTCTATCAATTGCATAATCTATGACTTAACATGCTGATGATAATAGTGACTCAGTGCCACAGATCATACTACTTTGGTGAAGCCCATTAAAAAGCTTACATGAGAAATTATTAATTTCTCATGTAAGCTTTTTAACAGACCCTCACATATTTTGTAATGAAAGCATCGCACCTGCAGTTATTCAAGACTCACTACAATACAGGCCGTGCTAACCAGGACTCTGTGATACTTTTAATGATTTCACAAAAGATGACAAAGTAAGGCACTTTAGCAAAAAAAATAGAAATAGAAACTGTTAAAAAGTTCACAAAAAGAGAACATTATCGTCACTGGTTGATTTATTTCCCATGAGTTAACGATATGTTTTGTTTTGCCTGTTGGCTTTTCAGTAATAATAGAGCAGACTATTTTTGGAGCGATTGTTGTAAAAGTTGTTTAAATTCTACAAAAGGTGTCTCCAAAATTGAGAAGTACAAATCATCAAAAAGCCATGAAGAATCTGCAAGACAGTTATTTTTAATAAAGTTTCACATATCTAATGACAAAACGGTTTTGGCAGAGCTTGTGGCTTCAGAGAGAAGACAGATAGAATAAAACAGGAGGATTTTAAAGACTAGATGGAGTATTTTTTTTAGGCAAATAAGGATTGGCTTTTCGTGGACATAGAGAATTTGGTGGTAGGGTTTCCTGTAATGAAGGTAATTTTCTCGAACTTATAAAGCTACTTGCTAAATATGACAATGTATTAGAACATCGTGTCAATCAAAATGACCACAATCCCTCCTATCTCAGTCCAGACTTTTTCAATTTAATATGTCTTTGCGATATTTTATAGCTGGTGGAGATTTAACTTATAGGTTTGTTCTGTTCTTAGAGCTATCTACTGCAAATGCTGAAATCTTTTTAATCTTCTAAAGTCTTCTGTAGATGAACTGGGTATCTCAGCAGAACTGTGCTATGGCCAGTCATATGATGGTGTAAGCACCATGTCTGGTGAAATTTCTGGTTTGCAGAAAGAGTTAAAGATATTACACCATGTGCTTTGTTTACACATAGCTGTGCAATATCTTTTTCTCTTTTATTTTAATCTTTTAACTTAATTTTAATTTGGTTGATGCTGTCAATTCTAATGTACAATCAAAATTATTTTTGGCACTTTAGAAACTGTATACACATTTTTTACTAGCAGTTTGCCTAGGTTAACTTTGCTCAAAGAAGAGCAACGCCAGAGTGTGGAAAACTTTGTTCAAGTCTGAAACATCTCAATAACACAAGATGAGCATCTAGAAAAGTAGCTGTTGATTCTATTTTACAAAATTTTCTAGCCTTGGTAGTAGCTCTGAGGCAAATAAAAAATTATACAGCCAAGCATTTGGCAGTAGCCAAGAGAATTCCAGTATCTCTTCTCTAAATTGAATTTGTTGTTCTTCTAGTCTTTTGTCTTTAAAGCTGTTTACACTGACTTTTCAGTTGTCTCAATATTTACAGAAGGCTATTATAAACATGGTTGTTGCTGCAAGCTACATCTTTGAATGTCAACTTAACAATATTAGAGAAAACTATGATGCTAGTTTGAATGATCTGGAAAAAGAAGCCAATGACCTTGCTTTAAAGTGCAATGTAGCAACAGCTTATAAGCAGAAAAGAGTTGGAAAAAAGAAATGACATTATGATGAGCTTGCAGTTAATGAGAGAAAAGAAGATGCCCAAAAGAATTTTGTGGTTGATACTTACCTGGTCTCACTAGACTCTGTGGTCAGCACAATGAAGAATTGATTTCAACAATTCACGCTAATTACTTCAAAGTTCAAATGTCTAGATCCAAAGCATTATGAGGATGAGGATAGTTTAGAACTTATCAAATTTTTTTTGGAGCAATTTCCGATTGATATTACAACTCTGGATGATGATGTTCTTTTTAAAGAAATGGACACCGAAGAGTTAAACATTAACAATGTGTTAAAATTTATACTAACTAATAATCTCTGTAACATTTACCCAAATATCAAAATATTGTATAAAATGTATATGACATTGCCTATTTCTAGTTCATCAGCAGAGAGGTCCTTCAGCAGATAAAAGCTCCTTAAGTCATATTTATGGTCCACTATGAGTGAGGAAAGATTTTTAGAAAGAGATTTAGTGAATGACCCTGAACTTGAAGTTGTGTTAAATGGTTTTGCCTGGATGAAACCTAGACCAATGAAGCTTAATTAAGTTTCACACAACCTACTATTGTTAAATTGATGAGAATAATATATTAAATTATTATAATTATTATAATATTAAATTATTGTAGTGCAATTAATTGTTGTCGTTATTATGGGTGTTGCCAACATTCAGGGGGAAAATTTCTGAGGGGTCCCCAAACTCCTGCTTCTGGGAGACCTGCCAGCCCAGGTGTCTTTTCAAAAACATTCGCTCCTCCAGTTGTCAAACCTTTGCTACACCTCTGACTGGGTTATCAAAGTTGTCACTAGTTAAATGGAATTCAAAAAAATATTTCTAACCAAAACCAGATAAAAAATAAATTGGCATGCAAAACCAGATTAAGCATTTTTTTTTAATATTTGTATAAAAATAAAATAAAAAGAGCATTATTTCCAAATTTTTGTCTCAAACATTCTTTTATTTATATTTTACTTGTATTTTTATCATTATCTTGAAATTTAAAGAAAAAAAAGTAAATTATCTGGTTTTGCAAGTCCACTCCTCAATTTATACAATATATTTATGAAGAATATAGTTTATGAAATAAATTTTTAAAGAATACAGTTTATACAATAAATTTTTTAAGATTATAGTTTATACAATATATTTATGAAGAGTATTGTTTATATAATGACATGTTAATTTTTCCCTATTTTTTAAGGAAATATTACTTAAACAGCTAAGCTATAAAATGTCTCCTAAATACGTATTGAATTATTTCAATATTCAAGGAAAGGGTGAGATAGCTAGATTTTTATTTCATTGCAAAGGTGTGGAGTTCACAGATAATCAAATCAGCTTCCAAGATTGGCCTTCACACAAAGGCGATAGTAAGACTGTTTGATTCTCTTGTCTTATTGCAGATTAAATCAGTTTCTTGTTTTTTTTTTCTACCTATTCTCTATAATTAGGTTCTAGGTTTCCTTTGGGACAAATGCCAACATTAGAAATAGATGGAAATGTTATTTGTCAATCTGCAGCTATTTATAAATATTTGGCTGAAACATTTGGTCTTATTGGAGCTAATCCATCTGAAAGATTGGTCATTAATCAAGTGTGTGAGACTCTAAATGATTTCTGGAATGAATATGTAGAAATTTGGAAAAGCAATGGATCAAACAATGATGAAAAGGTAAAAAGTGATTTTGTAACAATTCAGAGGTATAGTTTATTACATCTTCATACTACAGTTATCTAGTTACTACATGTAACTACAGTTAACTAGTTACTACATGTAACTACAGTTAACTTGTTACCACATGTAACTACAGTTAACTAGTTACTACATGTAACTACAATTAACTAGTTACTACATGTAACTACAGTTAACTAGTTACTACATGTAACTACAATTAACTAGATACTACATGTAACTACAGTTAACTAGTTACTACATGTAACTACAATTAACTAGTTACTACATGTAACTACAGTTAACTAGTTACTACATGTAACTACAGTTAACTAGTTACTACATGTAACCACAGTTAACTAGTTACTACATGTAACTACAATTAACTAGATACTACATGTAACTACAGTTAACTAGTTACTACATGTAACTACAATTAACTAGTTACTACATGTAACTACAGTTAACTAGTTACTACATGTAACTACAGTTAACTTGTTACCACATGTAACTACAGTTAACTAGTTACTACATGTAACTACAATTAACTAGTTACTACATGTAACTACAGTTAACTAGTTACTACATGTAACTACAATTAACTAGATACTACATGTAACTACAGTTAACTAGTTACTACATGTAACTACAATTAACTAGTTACTACATGTAACTACAGTTAACTAGTTACTACATGTAACTACAGTTAACTAGTTACTACATGTAACCACAGTTAACTAGTTACTACATGTAACTACAATTAACTAGTTACTACATATAACTTCAATTAACTAGTTAACTAACTACAGTAATTAATTGTTAACTACATGTAATTTCTTGATGATTTTGAAATTAATCAAAACATTATTTTTATTTTAGAAAGCAGCTATAGCTGAATTTCTTGTAAAGGAAACAACCAAATTAAAGTTTACTTTTATTGAGAACTTGTTAAAACAAAACCACGATGGTCATGGTTATTTTGTTGGCAATTCGGTAAGATTTTAATTTTTTTATTTTTTTGACGAAATAAAATTGCGGTCATTTATTTTTCATTATTGTTTTTTCCTTTTTTTACATTTTTTATTTATTATTGCTTGCACTTTATTATTATGTTATTATTATGTTATTTTTATATTTTGTCTTTATGTTTATATTTTATCAAATAAAATCAATCAGTTTCATATTCTTCAACAGCATGATTCTCATGATTTCGCTCCAATTGTTTATAGCTAAATCTAGTTTTATAAAAGAAAATCTATTTTTTCAATTGTTTATTTATGTTAACCTTTATTATATTTATTTGTCTTTTCACTCATTAAATACATACTTAAGGAAAATAAGGTTATTTTTTGTAATATATATATATATATATATATATATATATATATATATATATATATATATATATATATATATATATATATATATATATATATATATAGTGTAATGTAAACAACTATAAATGGTGCTAGATGCATAGTTATAGGTCTTTTTTTTTTCAAATACTCGTATTAAGGTTTGCAAAAAGAGAGAGAAACGGCCTCAGTTTTTCTGATTTCATGAGTTTGTTTACAATAAGTTTTATGGAGGGTTAAAAACGAATAAATTTATTATTTAAAAACCAATTATTATTATTATTTGACAAAGCTAAGAGCTGCACTGCTTTTCAAAATAAATAATATCACTGTCAATTATTTTTTAATAATTCTTATACAGATTTGTAATAAATAATTTATTTAAATTTTTTTTACTTACACTCTGCAGAGTGTAAATAAAATTAAAAAAATAAAAATTGGCATTATCTGTTGCAATAATTATTTTAATTAAACCACGGTGTTGTTCAAAAACTTAAAAATGTTTCTGCAGAACAGACAATCAAAAGTTTTTTTATTCTTCTTTCATCAATGATCAAAAAGTATTTATGATTTTAAATACAGAACTTAATTGGTTTGTTTATGTTGATACCATTAGAAGTTTTAACATTTTTTTAGGAAGAATTTATTATTTCTTTTATTATTAGAGGGAGATGTGAATAACCGATTAGTGATTATATCAAATGAGATGGAGTGTGAATAATAGAGTAGTGTTATATCAAATGAGATGGAGTGTGAATAACAGAGTAGCGATTATATCAAATGAAATGGAGTGTGAATATCAAATAAGTGATTATATCAAGTGAGATGGAATGTGAATATCAAATTAGTGATTATATCAAATGAGATAAAGTGTTAATATCAGATTAGTGATTTTATCAAATGAGATGGTGTAAATAAGAGATAAGTGATTATATCAAATGAAATGGAGGGTGAATGAACAGATTAAAGAAAGAAAAAGATTTTTGTAGAGTTTCAGAGAAAGAATTATTAAAATAAAAGAAATGATTGGTAAAAAAAAAAGCTGAAGAGCACTGTTACATTTCTAGAGAATATTATATATTTATTCATTAGTTATTAGTTTTTCTTAAATCATTTTTTCAAGTTTCACTTTTTTCTTTCATTTCTTTTTTTTTTTTTTTTTTTTCTATCGGATTAATTTTTAAAAAAAAAAATTTTCGTTTAAAAAGTAATTACTTTTCCAATACTATACAAATATTTTTAAAATTGATTTTAAAAATGATAAATCAGTATAGTCTTTTCAACTTGCACTTTTTATATGTTAACTATGAATTTTCAATACATAAAAATAAATTTTCAATAAATAAAAGGTGTTTTAAAACTTTTGATTTTTCTATAGGAACCATCTTAAAAAAATAGTTATTAAAAGTAATAGTTTTTTTTTATAAAGAATGTTTTTTTATATAAAAGTTTATGATGCGTTGCAAAATATCTATTTTTTTTATAGATCTCTCTTGGCGATTTAGTTTTCTTCCACATTACTGGAATGGCTGACAAATCATTGTTAAATGATTTTCCTTTGCTAGCAGAGCTGAATGATCGAGTAAGACATAGTGCTGAACTGAAATCATATCTGGATTCAAGAACGCATCCTCCATTCTCCATCTTTCATTCTTAAATAATTTAAAAAGATTTTTAATATTTCTTCTTTTTTATAGTTAGTCTTTTTTATAATTTGTCTTTTTTGTAATTTGTCTATAATATGTGTTTTTTATAGATTGTCTTTTTTATATTTTGTTTTTTCAATTAATAAATAAGTGTTAGTTTTATTTTTATGGATAAACTCTTTTCGGCCCTATGCACAAAATGGTTTCGAGGAACCTATTTGAGACAGAAAGTTCAAAAACAAATGAAATTTAAAATTTCAAAACAAATAAAATTCGGCGCTTGCTTTCCCAAAATGTTTTTTGACGGCAAGTTTTTATTTTAATTATTTAGTTTTAGCGGAGAATTTAAAGGTTGTTATTTAATCAAAGTATGATAAAAAAAAAAAAGTTAACAACTATTTTTTTTTTTTTTTAAAATAAATATTTTGCTTCTCATAATAAAAAAATAAATAAAAATTACAAAGAAACGTTTACGTTACATAAGAGGGTACATAAAAAACAGACAGGGGCTTAAAGAAGATACGTATATAAATACTGTCAATGAATTTTTTTTTATAGAGTTCTTTCAGCATTGAAGCCCACATACAACCCTTTAACTATATTTTACAAATGATACATAGAGTAAAAGTACCACAAACCGGACAGTGCGCAAAAGCGGACACTTATCGGAAAAACTAAATATCTTCACTAAAAATAAAAATATTTGCAAATTTTAAAATTTTAATTTAAAAAAAAATTAAATTTTAATTAAAAAATATTTGCAAATTTAAAATTTGAAAAAAATTAAAATGATTGTTTTAATTAGATTATGAAGTTTAGTCACGTGACTTTTTATTGCGGAAAAAAAAACGCAGTTTGGTTTTGAAAAATTTCGTCCAAAAAATGCATGAAACGATTTTAGCTACTCGCTGTAGTTAAGGCGATTTACAAAATATTTGAATTCTTTTATTTGGAATTGGCATGGTTTTGTCAGCATATTATGTCCAAGCAAGATCTTTAAATGTTATCATTTTTTTTGCTTCAGGTTTTTATAATATTTAAAGAAACCTTTCTTTTTTTTATATAATTTTCAAAATCTTTTTTCTATATGTAATAATGTATCTAAAGAACACTATTTTGGATGCCTTAGATCAATTCCGCTCATCGGCATTAACATGAATTTAACTAAAATCTTTTTAAAAAGTTTCTTTATTTACTACTGATCCTAGTTCTAATCGGTTCTGACGTATATTAACTATATATAGTTGTCAAAACACAATATTTCTATCAATTTTCACAAAAAATACTGGAATTCCGACCAAGAAAGAGCTTATAATTATGGAAAATTGCCAATAAACGATCAGAACAGATCATATTGTTAAACTATAATGTTCATTTCACCTAAAAAACGTATTAATATAAAACTTATTCAAATTTGGACGAGCGATTGTGATTTTAAGATGATTTTATTTTTAAAAAAAAGATTCCACGGTCTGGGTTTTTTCGCTACAAACATTTATATTTTATGATACCGCAAAATTTATTTTAATTTTTTTCGTCTATTCATAATTCACAGACCAGACCATTTAACGGAAATATGTCGTAGTCAACAAAATATCATACAGACGCTATAATATTTTAAAAGTGCCTTAACTACACCGAGTAGGTGTCGAAAAATGAAAACCCACCCATAAAAACTAATAATTTAAATACGTGTTTTGATATCATTTTTTTCTGAAAAGAATGTAGAACATTTATTTAAGTGAAGACTATATTCTATTTTTGAATTGAACAAGTTATTTACATTTAAATGATTCAACTTTGTTAAAATACCAGTTAAATTAGATAATTTATCCTTCTTCACACGAAAGTAGGTTTTGCAACTATTTATTAATAATATGTATGTATTTTTAATTTTTTTTTCTAATGGTTAATTAGGGTGGGTTTTTTGTTTTTCAACTGGTGATTTGTAAAATTGCTCCCGTTTTACTAACGTTCAGTTTTATAGTATTATTATTTACTCACTGAAAATTAATAATAATAATAATAGTTGTTATTATTATGATGATGATGATGATCAACCTGTTTACAGCTATTTTAAATCATTGTAAAAATAGTACATTGTCTTTTTTTAAAAACATCCTTTTTCTTTTAAAAGCTTCACGACTTGATTTTTGAATCCCTTCATGTCAAAAGATTTAAATTCATTTGACAACTTGTTGTAAAACTTTATACTATTGCAAAAGATAGTCTTTAGTCCGCTTTCCTTGTTCTGGTTTTTAAGTGATAATTATTTGTATTTCTTATAAAATAATCTTGTACTTCATTGTTTTTTATACAAAATCTTTGAAACTTTTAATGAGTATCTTTCAATGAAAGACACTCATTGAAAGTTTTATAGTTACATAGTATTGTGTACAAATGTAAATACTTTCATTTTAAATTCAATTAAATCATCGGGAAATTTGTCAGTAAGTTTTATCATTTTGTAAGTTACACTATAAATTGCATATATAACATTGTGAATGTTATTTAAAAAGTATTTATATTGTTTTGATATATAAACAACTAAGCTGTTATTAAATTTTAAAAATTAGAATGTAATTGTATTACATAATTTACATTAACTGTTTAAAATTTATAAATTTAAAACTGTTAACTGCTTTAAATTTATATATTTATTTGGCTTGACTTCTGGAAAATTGTATATTTATTAAGATAAAATGCTTAATAAAGAAATTTATTATTGAATTTTAAACATTTAAAAATATCTCATACAATGCTGTATATTCTATGTTTTGTGTAATGTTCAACTGCTTTGCTGTAAAAAATCATTAGCTATAAATATAACTCAACTAGTTGATAACATCAGAAAGTTAAAGAAGCATTGCAAAAATAGCAAGTTGGCATTGTAATTTAATGGTACCCATAAAACCAAATGCAAATACTGAAACTTTCTAGGCTTCGACAATTTGGTCTCAGAATCAAACATAAAAATGACTAAATAGTAAAACTGATGAAGTAAGAAAAGAATTACTTAATTGTTCAAAAACCAATGATAAAAAACAAATATGGTTAAAAAAAAGCAGTTCTCAAAAAGGATAAAGTATGTGTCTTAAGCAAATTAAATAAAGGAAAAAATAGAGAAAAAATTTAATTATACCAAAAAATTAAGCTTTTAATAACTTAATAAGTTTAAATATAAAACCATGGATTTCATTGGAAAAAGCTGTAGAAAAGTTTGTAATATAGAAAAATCTTAAAAATTAAAAGTACTTTTTGCTCAACTTATTTTTTATTTTGTCATCTCCGGTAGGGAATGTGACAAAAAAAATTTTTTTATACAAAGTTACACAGCAAAATCCAAGATTCTTGTCATCTAAGCAAAAAAAGTCTTAAAACAAGAAAAAAATGACTTGTCCGCCACGTAAGAATATTTTTTCTTGTTTCAAGAATTTTTATTCTTAAAATAAGAATTTTTTTTCTTGTTTTAAGAACTTTTTTTCTTAAATATTTTTTTTTCTTGTTTCAAGAATTTTTATTCTTAAAACAAGAATTTTTATTCTTAATATAAGAATTTTTTTTCTTGTTTTAAGAATTTTTATTCTTAATATAAGAATTTTTTTCTTGTTTTAAAAATTTTTATTCTTAATATAAGAATTTTTTTTCTTGTTTTAAGAATTTTTTTTCTTAATATAGGAATTTTTTTTCTTGTTTTAAGAATTTTTATTCTTAATATAAGAACTTTTTTTCTTGTTTTAAGAATTTTTATTCTTAAAACAAGAACTTTTTTTCTTGTTTCAAGAACTTATATTCTTAAAATTATGTTTTTTTTTTCTTGTTTCAAGAACTTATATTCCTTAAAAAAATCATTTTTTACTTGTTTCAATGTTATTTTTATTTAAAATAAAATTCTTTTTTTTTTCAATAATACTTCCCCTGAACTATAAAACAATATTACAAAAGTACTTTTTCTATGGAAAAAATGAAACATTATTTTGAAATTAGGATGATGTATAATAAGAATATGCAACAAGCATTTATACATTTAAACAACAAATCTAATCGTTAAAATAACAAATTATTCTTTGGAATGTTTTATTGTTCATGCTTGTAGCGGCAATACTCCACCTATGTCCGAAAAAAGTGTACCCCAATAAGATCCATCACGAAGTCAGAAAATGAAAAACTTCATAAAATAATCTTTTGCCACACATAATAATCACTTCGTCTCCATCGTCTGTTACGTACAGATAAGGATTTCTTATACCTGAAAATAAAATTTACAAACTCAAAATTTAACAATAATATCTTTTCATATCTTAAAATGTCGACAATTTATAACTCATTTTAGTTTTACTAATTTTGAGGGTTGTGTATGCATGCATACCTACCTGTATTTGGGTGGCAGTGGGCGAGGAACTGCCAACTTGTGTATTCCATAATGTGTATCAATATCTTCATTCTTGCTGAGTCAACTGTGACAGAAGACTTTAATAAATGAACTATGTCGCCAACAATCTGAATTAAATAATAATAATAAAAAAAGCATACAACTTTATAAAGCTGAGAAAACTTATAGAATAACCCATTAGAGGACATAGCAGTTTTAAAAATACCTTCTCATACAAAAAAGGATTTGTGATTTTCAAACACTATTTTATTTTATACAATAAATATATGAAATCACAAATGAAACAAAATTTTTTTTTACCAATAGCACATTAGGGAAACATTGATATTTCTCTAAAAATGCTGCAACTCTATCAACTCTCTCAATTGGAAATTTATTTACCCAGGTTAATAAATTAAAATTCTATACTTAGTTCAATTAAAATGCACCAGAACAAAGTTCTAGTGCATTTTAATTGATCATGTTATAAAAATAAGGATAAAAAATGTAAAAAATTAAAATTAAATAATAATACTAAATTTACTAATTAAAAAGTATTGTTTTCTTTACTTAATTTACTTTGCATGTATTTGGAAACTTGCAATTGCTTTAAAGAAAACACACACATATATGTCATATATGTGTATGAATGCAACATAAACATGGATTTTTAGAAATAGTACTAATACTAATCTTAAGTAAAAACCAATTGTATAATAATAGCAATAAAAATATTAAAACAATTATAACGAGGTAAGTATTGTTAACAATTATATTTATATTAATATAATAATAACAATAATAATAGTAACAATAATATTGATAAATATTAAATTTAATATTAAACAATAACAATAAGTAATAGTGATATGAATAGAAGTAAAATAACTTTGATATTTATATTACATATAATCATACCAAGAGCAATAATAATGACCCACAATGAGTCCAACACTTTACGAACAGTAATTACATTTCTCCAAAATAAAAAGACATAAAGATGAGTTTTAGTAGTAAAGTTTAGTGATATAAAGTGAATATAAAAAATAAATTATTCTATGAATAAAAATGATAAATTATTTCATGATTTTATGCATTGGTTTGTGATGTGATTTGTTATGCTGTACTTAACTGAACAATGATTTAGAATATATAATTTAAGGTTGCTAAAAAAGGAAGATAATTTTGAGAATTTTTTATAGAAGTAAAGAAATTACAGATTGGAAAAGGTAGGGTAACTTGTGTGTGATTTCAGACAAATAGACAATTTAATAGATGAACAAGTTGATTTTAAATAGAAACACAATTTGATTTTAAATAGAAAGAAAAGAATATTAGAATAAGAGTGATACTCTTGAAAGTAAATTATTTTAAATATCTTGTTTTTAGATTAGATATTCATAAAAAATTATTGGTTCATAAATTATAAGTATATATAATATATCATATTAGAGTGTTAGTAGTATGTTTGAGAAATAAAATTTATATTAATAGGTACATAGACTGATTTTTTTAAATTGATCCAATACTAGAATGCTATATATCATTGGAAAGCTCTCAAATACAGTATTTTAAAGGTGAAAAAATTATGAAAATTAGACAATTCTATAAAAAAATCTAACGTTTTTAGTAGCAATTTTTTAATATATGGATTTCTTGATAAAACTGTGGTCAAAAAAAAATTTTTCTACATAAATTATTATAACTTTACCAATTCTTATTCAAATATCTATAACTTAGTATCAAAAGATAGATGTAAAAATGGGCTATAATTTCAAACTAGTTTCTAGGTAAAGGCGCATGGAGGGATCCAGAGGGGGTGCTAATCCGCCACCTACACCTCACAAAAATACACTTTTTTTTCAATATAGAGTGTTTTTTTTATAAAATTAGTAATATTTATATACAACAAGTTATTATTTATTTATTCCACATCACTAGCAAATATTACAGGTCAATCTTAAAGTTGGATGTTGGGTTTTGGGGAAAGTTTAACACACCCTATTAAAATTTCATTCTTTTAATTATTACAATCTTAACTAAAACAATTAAATCTATTATAAAAAACAAAAAAATATATTTCAACACTATAACAAAAAGTAACTAGTGGTGTATAGATTGCTTTGATGGAAGAGGGTGTATACTGCCCCCCCCCCCCTCGACCATGAACCTGAAAAAAAAAATTTATGAAAATTTCACAAAAAAATGTTAAAATGCTTTTTTAAAAAACAGAGAAAAAATTAGTATAAAAAAATATTTTAACACATTACAAAATGCATCAGAGTAACCATTTTGTCATGAAAAAAGACGGATTACACACTCCAACCTAAAAAAAAATACCCAAAAACAACAAGCCTTTTGAAATAAAAAAGTGTAGTATAGTATGTATAAATTGCCTTTATGCACTTTCTTTCATAAAGGCAATTTATATACCTAGAGGTGTATAATTTGTCTTTATAAAAAGAGGAGCAAGTCATCTCCCTGTCTGTCGGAACCAAATAAAAAAATTTTAAATACAATTTAACAAAGAAGTCCTAAAATGTTTTTTTAAAGAAAATGAAATTAGAATAAAAAACTATTTTACCACATTACAAGATGCATCTGAGTATACATTATCATGTAAAGGAACAGATTAACCACTCCAACCTGAGAAAAAAACACACACAAAAAACAAGTTTTTTGAAATAAAAAATGTAACTATTTCTTGTCTGGGCTTCTAGTAAATAATTTAATTTTTAAATTACATTAACGAAACAAAATGAATAATTTTTAACAATAGACACCACATAAAGGTAAGCCAGAACCAATTATCAATTTGCAAGCCTACTTGCAAATTGATAATTGCAAGTAGGTACCTACTTGCAAGCCACAAAACTTACTGTACCTTATTTGCAAGCAACAAAACTTGCGATACTTATTTTGCAAGTCACAAAATTTGCAGTCCCTATTTGCAAGCCACAAAACTTCCAATACCTATTTGTAAGCTACAAAACTTGCTGTACTATATTTGCAAGCCACAAAACTTATGGTACCTCTTTGCAAGCCACAAAACTAGCTGTACCTTATATGCAAGCAACAAAACTTGTGGTACTTATTTGCAAGTCAAAAAACTTATTGTACTTATTTTCAAGCCACAAATTTTGCAAAACCTATTAGTAAACCATAAAACTTGTAACAGTTATTTTACTGGTTATAAAACTTGCTATACTGTGAGCATTTTTACATTAATTTCATATTCCAATTAAGAAAATTTAAACTTCCCTGATATAACAACAGCAACTAGCTGGAGTTTTTAATCTTTTGACAGTTCAATATCAGTTCCATCTTGTTTCCAATAAGAAATAGTGTAAATTCTGCCTTGTTATTTCTTGTTTACTTTTTTCAACTCTACCATCATAAATGGCAAAATGAAAACTTAAACAGAAAATTAACAATGAAAATATAAAAAAAATCTAACTACAAACAACAAACTAACACTTGGAATATTGCTACAAAGTTAAAGTAGTAAACAATAAATTAATAATTATTATTAATTTTTTATTAATTTGAAATTTATAATTCAAAATTATTAATATAAAATAATATTGATAGTATAAAAGATAAAATTGTTATTGAATATTATTAGTTAATAACAATTTTATCTTTTATACTATTAATATTGCTTTAATATTATTAAAACACTTTAAAAACATTATGCTTTTAAAAGTATTTTAATAAAAAAAGTTATAACTGTTATTGACAATGAACATTTATTTATTGTATACTACTTTATTTTTGAATTTAATAATTAACATGTTTAGATAATGGAATATATAAATTGTATACTACTTTATCTTTTAATTATTGCTTACAATAGCCTATTAAACAGGCTATTGTGATCAATAATTAAATGGTTTTATATTAAAATGATAATAAGATGATGATAATATATTTTAAAAACACTAACAAGGCTTTTGTTAGTAAAGTAAATAAGTGTAAAGATAAATAAGTGTAACATCACATAAAGTATGTGATCTTTACACTTATTTATGTATGGTATTTTTATAAAGTTGTCCACTAATACTTTGATCAAAGTATTCTCAATTGTAACTCAATTAAGTTAACAATTAATTCAAAAGCAACAGTTTTACTGAAGTTTTAGTCTTAAACGTTAAGAATTTAAAAAAGATTTTTAAATTTATCAACATAATTTAGTTTTAAAAATAATTATTACTTATACTATATATATATATATATATATATATATATATATATATATATATATATATATATATATATATATATATATATATATATATATATATATATATATATATATATATATATATATATATATAAATTATGTTTGTGTATTCTACAAATAGAGTGATTAATGTTCTTAAAGAACAGAGTAATTATAAATTAGTAAAAACACTAATCTAATTTTTTTTCTTCCACAAATTGTTTCACCATCAGTTACTGATGGTGAAACAATTTGTAGAAGAAAAAAATTAGATAAGTGTCTTTACTAATTTATATATATATATATATATATATATATATATATATATATATATATATATATATATATATATATATAGATATATATATATATATAATATATATATATATATATATATATATATATTTATATATATATATATATATATATATATATATATATATATATATATATATATATATATATATATATATATATATATATATATATATATATATATATATATATATATACATATATACATTAATTGTTTTATTGTTTAAAATCTTCAAATATTTTACTGTTAATACACCTTTTCACAGTTCCGATATAAAATTTATGCGCGCGCAGAAATGGAAGTAAAAATGTAAACAAACGTTATTTTAACAGTAATTTGTTTGAGATTTACAAAGCAAAACTAAGGTTTATCAAACAATAATATTGAACCAGTGCCATTAGTCTTATATTATTATTAAAAAAAGAGCCTGTCTAATCTATTTTAAATAACATATTAAAAACCAAGTGAAAAAAAGTACCTCAAAACATTGACTTTGGGATTTATAAAGAAATAATTCAACTATTTTATTTTGTACTCTAATGTACTTAATTAGTGTTTAAAGCTAAATTTATGCATATATATATATATATATATATATATATATATATATATATATATATATATATATATATATATATATATATATATATATATATATATATATTTTAACAACTTCGCTGCCAACAAGGCTGCAAGCAACCACTAATTAGTGTTGAAAGTTACTGGAAGAGAAAAGATAAAGATTGTAGAGCAAGATAACGATTGACAGACGACTTAAAAGATTGCAAATTATATGAATCAGGAAAGCAAGATGAAGGAAGGGAATTCCAAAGAACTGATGTTCGAGGAAAAATACTAGACTAATAAGAGTTTTTGGAGCACTTAGGAACAGTAACAGAAAAAGGATGAGACTTAGTTGAATGATGAGTAACACGAGAATGAATTTTTGTAGATGGCACAAGAGACGCTAGCTCTTTAGAGCAGTGCCCATTATAGTATTTGTAGAAAAGAGAAAGAGAAGCAACATTACGACGATGTGACAGAGGTTGAAGGTTGATTGCAAAAGTAGGTCCAACTATTTTTACAATGCGTTTTTGCACCTTGTCTAAAAGAGAAAGGGCATCATTAGAAGATCCACCCCAGATATGGCAACAGTATTCCATATAAGGCCGGGTTTGAGATTTATAGAGATAGAGAATAGAATCCAGAGTAAGAAAGTGACGAGCTAGATAAAGTGAAGCGACTTTAGCAGATGCTAATTTTGCAACGGATTTGATATAAGGTTTCCAAGAAAGATCAGAAGTAAAAGTTAATCCTAGAAGATGAATGGTAGGAGACTCATCGAGTACATTACCGTTCATAAATATAGGAAGGTCTAAATTATTGCGATAACGATTGGCTGAAAGAAATTGAGTTTTATCTGAATTAAAGTTCACCAGCCACTGTGAGCCCCATGCTGTAGCAGAAGTGAGATCCTTTTCAAGCTCAGATGCCCCCTGCAAGCAATCAGAGGGAGTTGGCTTCTTATCGTGACAAGAATAAATGATAGTATCATCAGCGAGCAATGCCACCTTAGATGTGAGAAAATCTGGAAGATCGTTAATGTAAATTAAAAAGAGTATAGGGCCAAGGATTGAACCTTGAGGAACCCCTGAGGTTACAGAATAAGAAGAAGAGTGCTGTCCATCAAGGACAACTTTTATACTACGATTGGAAAGGAAGGATTCGATAATCTTAAAGATGTTTCCAGATACACCGTAAGAAGAAAGCTTATGGAGAAGACCAGCATGCCAAACTTTATCAAACGTTTTAGAAATGTCAAGAGCGATGGCCTTAACCTCTCCACCTTTATCTAATGCGCGATAAAACCTATCGGTTATTACTGTTAGCAAATCAGCTGTAGAACGAGAAGATCGAAATCCATATTGATGATCAGAAAGTAGGTTATGAGGTTCGAGATGAGAGATTAAGTGTTTGTTAATTAAAGATTCAAAAACCTTGCTTATGATGGAAGAAGACTAATGGGACGGTAGTTAGACGAATCAGATCGCTCTCTAGAATTTTTAAAAATAGGGATAACAGATGCTGCTTTCCAGCAGGCTGGAAAACAAGACTCTGATAAGCACTTGTTAAATAGTTTTGAAATGATAGATGACAGCTTCGGAGAACACTTCTGCAAGACTATAACAGGTATGTTGTCCGGACCGCAAGCTGTAGAAGAGTCTAAGCAGGAAATCACTTTAGATACAGAAGCTGGAGTGATATGGATGTCGAGCAGTGGATCAACCTGTTTGACGGCTATATCATATAGAACGCTACTAGTGAAGTCAAGAGATGATATTGATGAAAAGTTTTTGGCAAACAATTCAGCTTTGTCTTTAGGTGAGGTGACAAAGTCTGAACCGTACAAAAGAGGTGGAATTATAGACTTGCCCTTATTATTGATACTATTAAAGATTCTCTAGAAGTCACGAGAGCCTAATTTTTGTGATGAAATACGAGATTTCATGATCTGAGAATAGCGGGCTTTGGCGTTAGACAAAACCTTTTTACAATGGTTCCTAGCAGTAATAAACAGACGTCTGTTTTCTGGAGAATTGATTTGCTGATAGATATAGAAGTAATGGTTTCGATTAGCAATTGCAGCAGCACAATGTGAGGAAAACCAAGGAGAAGAGTGAGGCTTGACCTGGAATCGTCGAAAGGGAATAAAGGATTCCATGCCAGCCTGAATCCATGAAGTTATGTAAGAAGCTCATATGTCAACAGGAAGACGAAAGATTTCTACCCTGGGGCCATCACGAAGAAAATCACGGAAAGAGTCCTAGTCAGCTTTAAGGTAGTTGTAAGATGTACAATGATAGGGGGATTCTGATGGTAAAGAAGAATGAGATAATAGTTTTAGAGAGACCAAACCACGATCAGAAGCACCTAAGGGTGAGTGTGGAGAAACTGACCACTGACTAGGATCAGAAACAAGACATAAGTCGAGTAGAGAAGGTAAATGATTCAGGTTGTCTGGAAAGCGAGTTGGAAAGTTGACTATTTGAGTTAGGGATTGAGAAAGGCAAAAGTTGTGGGCCTTAATGCCTGCAGAGTCACTGACACTAGAGCTAAGCCATTCAGTGTGATGAACATTAAAGTCACCGACAACAACAATATTGGCTGATGGATAAAGAATGAGGGCTTGGTCAATTTAATCAAAAATAACATCAAGAAGAGTGCAGTCTTGAGATGAAGGAGAGCGATATAGAACAAAGAGAAAGGTGATAGAGTGAAGTGGTGCTAAACAAAAGCACATAAAAGAGTAGTCTGTGGATTCAAACCTAGTTTACCGACAAATGGGTGAATTCTTACAAATGTAAATGCCTAGGCCAAGCATGTGACTATTAGAGTCTTTACGGATTAAAAGAAGATAACCATCAACACTAAGATCACAAGTTGAGACAGCTGAACTCAAATTAGTCTCACAAAGAGCAAGTAGGTCTGGTGAACTTTGCAAGAGATAAGACTCAACAGAAGAAAAGTTACTTTGAAGACCACGAATATTGGTGAATGATAGGTTTAGCGAACTTGGTGATGACTGTGGTTTTTTGTGTTTTATAGTTTTTGCTACTTTGTTCATTTTTAAATTTGTTAAAGAACTTGACTCGAAACATAGATAGTACTCAGTATTACCAGTATTACTGTGTTTATTTATTTTTTGGCCTTGCAGTGGTTGTGCGATCAGTCGAAGCAATAAAAAATGCTATTTTTTGTGTACTCTCGAGCCCCGAATAAAAGAGGGGGGCATTTACTAATTTTTGAAAAATTTTTCAAACGAACCCAAGCTTATTAAAATCCTCCTCCCCTCTCTCCTGTTAATTAACTTTTACTTGTTTTCAAAAAAGAAAAAAAAAAAAAAAAAAAAAAAAAAAAAACATTGAAAATCGGCCTTAAAAATTAGAAAGTAATTATTTCAATATATATATAATAATAGTAATAAAATATATATAATAATAATAAAATATATATAATAATAATAATAATATATATATATATATATATATATATATATATATATATATATATATATATATATATATATATATATATATATATATATATATAATAATGATAATAATAATAAAATATATATAATAATAATGAAATATATATAACAATAATAATAATGATAATAATAATAACAATAATAATAATTATATATATATATATATATATATATATATATATATATATATATATATATATATATATATATATATATATGTATATATATATATATATATATATATATATATATATATATATATATATATATATATATATATATATATATATATATATATATATATATAGTACAATAATAATATAGTACAATATATATAGTTACAACAATATAACATATAGTACAATAATTTCTTCAGGCTTCTAATAACTTGTTCAAACAATAACTTTAAATTAGCAATTTCTTTCTAATTTTTTTTCAGTTCTTTATTTTTCATTGTCATTTATCAAGTCATTTGAGCTGCACCATTCCAACCAGAGGGAACTGTGTGGTAGATGTAATGTTCAGAACATTTAGTGTTAATATTAAACCCTTAATCATACATTATACAAGAGTATTTTAGAATACAATCTAAAAATTTGTTGCAATTTGTAATTTGAAATCCAAAATTTAGCTTCTGTAAGCTTTAGAAATAATTTAAAGAAATAATTGATCAATTCTGAGCTAGGGGTACTAATATGTTTATATTGTTTGTATTCACTCCTTGTTAGTTTCTGTAAATCAAAACTTTTAGGTGTTTTCATAATAAACTCTGTTATATCTGAAATTTAGTGTAAGTTTATATAATTTAATTTCTTAAATCTGTTTTGCATTGCCTGTTTTATAATATTTTTACTTAGAACAAAAACCATGTGCTTTAAAGGTGAGTAAGAAGCTTTCAACCATGAAGAAAATATTACATTTGCTAATCCTAAAAATATATTAAACCTGTCAGCAAGATCAGTTGTCAGTAATCCATGTATTAGCATCATTAAAAATCTATCTTTGCTGCATAACATTTATTTTGATCCAAGTAGTTAAGGGTTTTTTTAAATTTCAAAAAACAGCAGTAAATGTTTTTTTACTGCACTAACTGATGAAACACATTTGAAAGATGTAAGGCCAGTATAAAAGTCGAAAGATCTATAATATTTAAAATAAATGTTTGTATACAAGTAAATTGCAATAACACGATTTGTTTGGATTACTTTTATATAATAAACGATAGTCCTCTGTCAGGAAAATTGTCTGAACATACTCTCATTTTATATTTTATGGTAAATAATTTACTATGACACAATAATGAAGAAGTTAAACGGTTAATTAGTTTTCTCTATATTTCTCTGAGCTGTAGTTGTTTTTATATTGTTATATATCTGTGTGTTGATAATGGATAACAAATGCTTACTCAAATGGTAGTTTGCAGTTTTACAAGTTAGAGCATCGTTTAACACTTTGTATCATACATAAATCATCTTTCCACATTTCTAGACTGTACTCGTTATTTTTACAATCGATGAGAGCGCATGTTTTCGATCTCTTGAAACTTTTATATGGTATAGGTTCAGTATTTACATTTTTTTTCATTGTAAACCTCTATAACTTAAACCAGTGAAATAATGTTTGTTTACGTTTTTACTTCCATTTCTGCGCGCGCTTAAATTTTATATCGGAACTTAGAAAAAATTTTATATCGGAAAAGAAAAAAAAAAATTTTAATTTTCGCTGCCAAAAAATTAACGCGATACTTTATAAAAATATTTCTTCAAAAGTCCGAGTATTGAAAATATTAAAACATCCACTAAATAAGCTGAAGATGTGGTTGAAACCATTTTGGAAATGAAATATCTTAGGGAATGCAATATATTTAGCATAAACAAAATTTATGTTGGCTATAAAAATAGCTTAAACACCCTAATTAGATATTTATGTTCAAACAAAATTTAACCCTAACAATCAAACTTTTGATAAATATTTGTATTTTTTTGAATGAATTCATTTAATTACCTAACTTATACACAATAAAAAATCTAGGGTAATTTTGTTAAGAAAGATATAGTAAAATGGGGTCGAATGGAATAGTTAAGGATTTTAAATATTTTTTTTTTACGGTAAAAAAAAAAGTTTTTAATTTTTTTTTTAAAGTTGAGAATACACGGTCGTTTACGAGCGTTAAGTTTAGGTGCGCATGTGTTAGAAGTTGATAGAAAATTCTGAGATTTTAAAGTGGTTCTTAACTACTTAATCTTTTTTATATAGCAACTGTTATTTTTAGTTTATTGTTGCAAAAATTAATGTTGCAACCATATTACTGGTCTAATACAATAAATAAACGCCTTTTTTGTATTAGTAAATAAATAAATACGTTAACCAATTATTTTTAAAGTTTTAATTTGTATTTTGGCTAAAACTTTTATTTGTAACATTGAGTGATTTGTTTATTTTTTTCAAAAAAAATTTTCAGAATTTTTAACTGTACAAATTTAAAAAAAAATTTCTTTATTATTATTATTACTATATTTATACTTAGACCTTCTTTTAGTTGTTGCTTAAATTTAATTTTTCTGTAAAAAATGTATTTCAACTCGTTTTACTTGTTAAGAGTTTAGTTTTTTCTTGAATTTTGTTCTGGTGCATTTTAATCAATTATGTTATAAAATTAGGGATATAAAAATGTAATAAAATTAAAACAAGTCTTATAATAACTTTTTATTATAACTTTATATATATATATATATATATATATATATATATATATATATATATATATATATATATATATATATATATATATATATATATATATATATATATTTGAAAACAACAGAAGGACCCGAAGGTCACTAACACTGAGTATACATTAACAAAAATTTTTTTTTTTTACTGAAATGTTAAATTGTATCAAGTGCTGAACAAGTTACAACAAAATTGTATTAACTTGAACAAAGCAGTACAGCAAGACGTTTCTTAAACATCAAGACAGATGATGCAGACACCACATCCTCCGATAAACTATTCCATACATTAACAATTCAATTAGAAAAGAAACACTTTGTGCTGTTTAAACTACAATGGTATTTTTACAGTTTAAAGTTATGACCGCGATTATTCAAGTAAGAATTGAGAATAAGAATGTTTGATAGGTCAGTGTCCAGTTTACCGTTAAGAATTTTGTAACATAAAACTAAATCTTTAAACACTCGTCAATACTCTAACGTATTAAGCTTTAGTATGGCTAGACGCTTATCATAGGAAACTGACCACAGACCAGCAATTCTTTTAGTGAAGAAACGCTGCACTTTCTCAACTTTATTAATCAGGCAAATAGTGTAAGGTGACTATACTGAAGAGTAATATTCAAGCATAGTACAGTAGGCTTTAACCATCAGCAATCTGTCTCGTGAATAAAAAGATTTTAAAATAAGAAAAGCTCTTGACATAGCTTTATGTACGATAAGATTGATATGTTGATTGAATTTGAGATTTCTATCAATGGTAATTCCAAGATCTCTTATACAGTTAACATGGGCAAGTTCATGGTTATTTATGGTGTAAACACGCTGGGCTATGTTTTGACTCTGGTTAGCAATAGTACAGACAAATGATTTTTCAGTTGCTATTTGGAGTTGCCAAGTTACAACTCCATTCGTACAAACGATTAACAGCTGTGTGAAGGTCTGACTGAAGGCCACGTACATCATAGACTGAATATAATTTAATGTCATCAGCAAAAAGTTTAAGTTTGATATCAAGCTGTTTATTAATGTGACTCACATCATTTATAAACAATAAGAATAGAGTAGGTCCAAGTACACTCCCCTGTGGAACACCGCTTTTAACAGATATAGCATGGGAAGTAATATTGTTTAAATTTACCACCTGTGATCTCATGTGCAGAAAATTAGTTAGCCAATTCAGAAGATTGCCAACTATTCCGTAAGCAGGTAATTTCATTAGTAACTTAGAATGTGAAACTGAATCGAAAGCTTTCTTAAAATCAAAATAAATAATATCGGCGCTGAAGATTTAAAGTCCAGTCATGAAGACTTTCTAGAATATTAGTACAGGTACTACGTTTACGAATAAAACCATGCTGCTCTTTTGTGATTAGGTTATTGAGTAAGAGATAATTAATCAGTTTGTTATTAATGATTCTTTCCATTACACAACAACAAGTAGATGTTAAGGAGATAGGTCTATAATTACCTGGGTCAACTATTGGTCCTTTTTTGTGAATTGGAATAACGCTTGCTACTTTCCAGTCTAGCGGTATAGCACCATCTTTAAATGAGGTATCAAATATATGGCTTAAAGGAATCGATAAACTATTGGCACATTTCTTTAGGAAAACATTGGGAATGCCATCTAGACCAGTAGATGTGGTGGGTTTAAGTGCTCTAAGTGCTTTTACGGCTGTAGAAGGAGAGAAGTTAATAGATGACAGACAAGTTGAATGTACGTTAACACGATCCGTAAACTTTGGTTATAAACCATTATCGACTGTAAAAACACTTGCAAAAAAGTTATTAAAAATACAGGATATTTCTTCTTTATCATGACAAAGGGTATTATCGGATCGACGAATGTCATTGAGTTTACAACAGGTTTTGAGTTTTCCATTGACAAAGTTAAAGAAACTGCCAAGGTTGTCTTTGCGTATCATCTTAAGTTCTTTTGCTGCATGATACTTTCTAATGGAATCAGAACATTGTGCGGCAATTAATTTATAAGCTGCTTTGTCATTAGGTTTACCTGTTACTTTTGATCTTTTCCATGCCATTGCTTTGTTGTTTATCAACCTTTTAACATAATAAGGATAGTGTATTTTATGTGATAATTTATGCTCTTCACAGACTCGCACTTTAAGTACATGTAGTGTAATAATGTTATTTAGTAAAGTAGAAAAAGTATGCCAACAAGCTTCAATATTAAAACATGTTTGAAAGATAATCATCCAATCGACCGATTTCAGATATTTATTAATAACTTGGTAATCTGCATTCTTCCAACAAAAGAACTGTTGCACTAGAACTTCAGTTTTATTATATAAGCAGCTCAAATTAGGAGTGAATATGATAACATTATGATCACTAGTGCCAATAGGTGGTTTAATACAGAGATTACTGATAAATGAAGAGGAAGAACTCAAAATAAGATCTAAGATGCTATTTTCTTGAGTTGGTTGATCAACATGCTGAGTGAGACTATATCTGTTTATAAAATGTAAAAAAGAGTTATGTATAACACTATCTGGACCATGATGGTAGTGCCAATCTATATCAGGTAAGTTAAAATCTCCTAGTATGACCACATTTTTTTTGGTCGAACACAAAATAGAGAAACATTTTACACTACTCTGCATATAGTCAATAGCTTCTTTATCGAAACCCCCACTGCGATAATAACCAATAATTCTGAAAGACTGACCATTAAGGTATAAATCAGCACATACAATTTCTAACTCATGAAACTCTAGTGGTATGTCAACTTTTCTAAATTGTATAAAACTGCGAAAAAATATTTCTATTCCACCACCTTTACTACTTCTGTCACAGCGAAGAACAGTGTATGTATATATATATATATATATATATATATATATATATATATATATATATATATATATATATATATATATATATATATATATATATATATATATATATATATATATATATATATATATAATTGTAGTTTTTAATTACAATTATATTGTTATTGCTGATGATGCTGGTAACTATAATCCAGAAAAAATTTCAAATAAATTAACAATTGTATTAAGAAAACTCGTATTAATTGATGTTTTTATATTTTTAAGATATATACTCTCATACAAAATGTCAACATTTAAATCATATATACTCATATATATATATATATATACATATATATATATATATATATATATATATATATATATATATATATATATATATATATATATATATATATATATAATATATATATATATATATATATATATATATATATATATATATATATATATATATATATATATATATAAAATATATTTATTTATATGTATATATACATGTATATATACATGCATATATATATATATATATATATATATATATATGTGTGTGTGTCTGTGTGTGTGTGTGTGTGTGTGTGTGTGTGTGTGTGTGTGTGTGTGTGTGTGTGTGTGTGTGAACGCAAACAACAAAAATTAATCAGGCATAACCTCAATTTTTGATGAATTTGGCTATCTTCATACAAATAGAGAAGTAATTGCAAATTCTTAAATAAAAGTTTCAATCCTGTTTTTGTTCATGAAAATAAAGATAATATTCCACTTGTTACAACTAAAACTAATAAGACTATACAATTAGATGTAGACAATCTGATCACTCGTGACTCAATTGAAAAGAAATTAGAACAATTAGATATCAACAAATCTGTTGGTGTAGATGGAATTAGTCCATATGTAATGGACAAATGACATAGCACCATTTGCGAACCATTAATACTAATGTTCAAAAAATCTCTAAAAGAAGAAAAAGTACTAGAGTTATGGAAATTGGCAAATGTCACTCCTTTGTTTAAAAAAGGAGAAAAAAGTGATGCATCAAAATATAGATCGATTTCACTAACATCAATACCATGTAAAGTGTTAGAATCGATCATTAGAGACGAAATGATGAATTATTTTTTGACGAATGGTTTACTAAATGAAAATCAACACGGACTTGGAAAAAATAAAAGCTGCTTAACTAACTTATTGGGACCGTTACTATTTCTGTTATTCATAAATGATCTACCGGATCATGTGAATAACAACATGAAATTTTACGCCGATGATAGTAAAATTATTAACATAATAAGCAATTCATGTGACGCTAAAAAACTTCGATTAGACATAGACAATATCATGGCATGGTCATCTACTTGGCAAACAGAATTTAATTATGACAAATGCAAGATTATGCATATTGGAAGAAAAAATCCTAATCGTCTGTTCATAATGCATGATATTGACACCAATTTAAATCACAGCATATCAGTTACTGAAACTGAAAGAGATTTGAATATAATGATACAATCTGATTTAAAATGGAAAACTCAAGTTGATACAGCGGTTGGCAGAGCAAACTCAGTGCTTGGTATTATAAGAAGAACATTCAAATACGTCGACACACATATGGTGAAAAAGTTGTACGTAACATTTGTTCGGTAACACCTTGAATTTGCGAATTAAGCTTGGTGTCCATTTTTAAGATAAAACATCGATAATGTTGAGAAAATACTAAGAAGAGCCACAAAGTTAGCGTCAGCATTAAAAAAAATACCATATGAGAAAAGATTAGGTATTATGAAATTAACAACTCTAGAAGAACGGTGAATACGTGGTGATCTAATCCAACAGTATAAAATTCAACATGGGTTTGATAAAGTAAATTGGGTTTCAAACTACAGTTATACCGCGTCACAAGAAGGCCCCCATCTGAGGCAACATAAATTCAAATTAAAATAACTATTCTGCAAGAATACTATCAGATCAAATTTTTTCTCTAATTGTATAGTCAACATATGGAATAATCTACCGAGTGACATAATAGAAGCAGAATCAATAAATCAGTTCAAAAACAAACTAGATAAATCAAATATTTGCAAAAACATTTTATTACAAAATTGTTTTTAAGATAATTTGCTTTAGAGATTTAGGAATTGTGCAAAGCTGATACAGTGCAATATCAACTGTTATTGCGCTTCACAACTGTTAACACCAGTTGTTTCAGCTACCTCTTATTATATATATATATATATATATATATATATATATATATATATATATATATATATATATATATATATATATATATATATATATATATATATATATATATATATATATATATATATATATATATATATGTGTATATATATATATATATATATTTTATATATATATATATATATATATATATATATATATATATATATATATATATATATATATATATATATATATATATATATATATATATATATATATATATATATATATATATATATGTATATATATATATAAAATATAAAATTAAATAATAACACCTGGTAATTAAAGAAACATGACTCACGTCTAGGGTCATTGTCAGGTGTTACATTTGATGATCGCCTTAGATGTCAAATTCATAGTCATATTTCCTTGAATACCAAGTATTATTATTTAATTTTACATAATATAGTTTGCTCTACTCTGCATTGAGAATAATATACCGGTATTTATCAACATAATTATTACTATTATATATATTTATACATTAGGTACATGGACTGATTTTTTTAAATTGATCAAATACTAGAATATTATATATCATTAAAAAGCCCTTCAACACAGTATTTTGAAGGTGAAAAAGTTATGAAAATTAAATGGTTCTTTAAAAAGTTATGATGCTTTTATTACCAAATTTTCGATATATGGAATTATTTCGATATAACCTGGGACAAGTGTGTGTAGAAGTGGGACAAATAAATTTAAAACAACATTTAAAGACAAATTATTAAATAGAAACTGATCTTGTCATAAAATCACCTAATCGACATGAAATTGTTCAAGAGCTTTCACCAATCGAAATAATCAAAGGGCGACGGGAAGAAACGGGCATGAATATTTCTTTTTCTGTCTCACTTCACGCCAATGTAAACACTTTTTTAATGGTACATTTCAAAATTTGGGCTTCTAGCGCACGCGAGGAAACAAAGCAATTTCTGATAAATAGAGGGAGTTAAATATAATTTTTTACATTAAATAACAGTATTTAGGCAATTAGAAATTTCGGGCTGTCCGATTTCTCCCTACTCTCCTCTATTATATAAAAACTGTCCAGTCTTTGAAGTTGCAAAATCTGTTATTAAAATGATTTGTTCGTCAGCTAAAGCAGAGAGAACTTGGTCAATTTTTCGATTAAATTATTGACGATTGAGAAATTTCTTGACAAACGAACGCATAAAAAAATTAGTTTTCGTATATACCAATAGTGTTTTGATTGGATACAAATATTTTTGATACCAATAGTGTTTTGATGAATACAAACGACAAAAATGGCTACATTTTAGAGGAAGTAGCAGTTCTCAGCAAGTTTGAGTGTGAAGAAATTTTAAAAAAGCAAGTTTAATACAAAAATAAATTAAATTGTTAAATTTTGTGGTATAGAAACTCGTTTAAAAATCATGAAAATAATTCGAAATATTTATAAATAAAATTAATTACAGAAAATCGAATGAAAAGTTATTTCTTTTAATTTAAAGTCACCTGCGTTTAATTTAAAAAATATTTTCTTCTATATTTGATAATATTTAATTAATTTTTATATAGCATTTAACTGTTAAATTTGTATGCGCATTATATGCATATAATGCGCATAACTTTAAACGGTATGCGCATATATTCGGCACGTTCCGAATTATAAAAATGGTTCTAGGAAAAAATCCCCTCGGGAAACACTCCCCCCTGAAATGATACCTCAAGAAAAAATCCCCCCAAGAAAAAATCCCCCTGGAATATATCCCCCCCCCCTCAAAAAAAAAAAAAAAAAAACTTTTACTTAAAAATTATCAATATGTAGTTATGGTTATTTCTTTATTTATTTTAAATATTTATATAAAATACTTCATTTTTCATCAAAATGTCAAGTTATGCACTAATCCTCGACGGTAGCGAATGTGATAACCCTGACGAGGTAAAATGTGAACTTTTTTGCGAACCATCGTCGTATTGGTTGTTAATGATGTAATACTTTATTTATCGTTTACCGTTAAATAGTTAATTAAGCGGTATATTTTAAGGACTTTTAAGCGGAAAAATTATTTAATAAAAAATGAAAGGAAATTAAATGAAACTAGACGAATACAATATGAATATATATATATATATATATATATATATATATATATATATATATATATATATATATATATATATATATATATATATATATATATATATATATATATATATATATATACTATATATATATATATATATATATATATATATATATATATATATATATATATATATATATATACATATATATATATATATATATATATATATATATATATATATATATATATATATATATGTATATTATACATATATATTTTAATTATTTGATAGACTGCCTGCCCAAACAAAACCCTCAGTCGATGTAGCAGCACTCCGTTGCGAGTCAGGCTATTTGTCAGTCAATGTAGCAGCACTCCGTTGCGAGTCAGGCTATAAGGTATTCGATGTAGCAACACTCCACGCATGTTTTTTTTATAGGTAAAAAATAAAAATTTTAAATAAAGCTTTAAAATAGATAATTAAAAATTGGAGAGTTTTTATTATTATTATTTTTGTCATAAAAATAAAAATAAAAATCTTTAAAATGGTTTGGTGTCTTATAATATAAACAGATATATATATATATATATATATATATATATATATATATATATATATTATATATATATATATATATATATATATATATATATATATATATATATATATATATATATATATATATATATATATATATATATATATGTATAATATAAACAAATATAATCCAAACGCTAAATAGTCTATAATATAACATTGAAATAATGACAAAATCAGAAAAAATTTCAATACAACATTGTTGTTGTTGTTGTTGTTGTTGTTGAACTTATTGCGATACTCGATTTCCCGGTTTTCGCTTTTAAACTTTTCGCTTTAACCTTCTTTCGCTTTAAAACTTTTCGCTTTTACGTTCTTTCGAATGAAAGAACGTAAGAACGTTATTTCGAATTAAAGAACATAAGAGCGAAAAGTTGAAAGAAGCGAAGACTAAAATAATATAAATTTAACCAAAGCATACATGCTTATATTTCTAATTCTAAAATCATTACTAAAAGTTATGCTATTCAAACTTACCAGTGGTAGGCTGTGTAGAACTTAAACCCCTGTGTATTGGTATATATAGTTTAGTGTATATATCTTCCCCTTGTGCACATCACCATAGATTCAACGTTGACCTGATGAAGTTGATTGGTAATCAACAGTGATCAACGAACTAATAGCATTCAACCAACGGTGTTAAAGTCGCCGATTACGACCGTTATCAAAACACTGCTTTGTCGTAATTTCAACGCTGACAAAACGTTACTAAGCACGCATATGCTTGGTAAATATAATCAGTTAAATTTTGTGAACATTCTGATAAGCGTTTAATTTTTATTTCATGATAAAATTATTAAAATTGTAGCAAGTCTTTATTTAATTTCTATATTTTGATAAATTTACGACTGATTATGTTTAAAAAAAACACTCGAAGTAGTTATTTCAAGCATTACCTGAGAGACTGGCGCAAAAACAATAGATTGATTAAAGATTTGTTAAAAGAAGATTATAAAGAAAAAAAAGTTTCTTCACTAGCTTCAACTTCAGTAGCTTCAACTTCAGTAGATTTTACAGTAGACAA